GCGGGGGAGGGAGGAGAAAAATGAGCTGATACCAGGAGCTCAAGTAGATAGAGAATGTTTTAGAAATGATGATGGCAACAAATGTACAAATGTGCTTGACACAATGTATGTATGTGTGGATTGTGATAAGAGCGGTATGAGCCCCCAATAGTTTTTAAAAATAAATAAAACTGCAGAAATCATTTCCAAGCAATAGGGAAATTCATAAGAACTGGGTATTGGCTGATATTAAGGTGTTATTATTAATTTTATTAAGAGACATGATAGTAGTGTGAGTTGAAGAAACCAAACTCACTGTCTTCAAGGGAATGCTGACTCGTAGTGACCCTGGAGGGCGAGGTTGCACTGCCCCTCTGTGTTTCCAGGCTGTCATTGTTTGTGGGCGAAGAAAGACCTCTTTCTGCCGCAGAGCGGCTGGCACTTTTGAACTGCCAACCTTACAGACCGCCACTCAGCGCCATGCGTTATACAGGAACATCTGACGTTTTCAGAACTGAAATGTCATAATTCCAGGGGTTCATATAAAAATATTTCACACACATACAGAGAGATCTGGGCAAGCCTGCCCAAATGTCCATAACTGTTGAAGATGAACAAAAACCCAAACAAAGGTTAAAGGCAGGTGACAGCATGAAGGCTCTTTCTCTCTGCTTTTGTGTGTGTGAGGTTTTGCGTAACAAGCGAGTAAAATAAGAAAGAAAACAAAGTACAGGACAATGTAGCTACACAGTGCCCCAAGGAACCTGGAGGTAAGCATCAAGCTGCTAATCACAAGGTCGCCAGTTCAAAACCACCAGCCACTCTAATGGGAGAAAGATGTGGCAACCATTTCCATAAAAATCGACGGTCTCGGGAATCCTGTGGAGCAATTCGTCTCTGCCTTCGGGTTTGCTTAGCTGGGATCCACTCGATGGTAGTCGGGTAGAGTGGTCCAGCAGCACCCACTCCCTCTAGTGCAGTGGTCTCGACCTCTTTGGGGGTCGAAAGACCTTTTCACAGGGGTCATAATAGTAGTAAAATGACAGTGATGAAGTAGCTATGAAAATAATTTGGGGGGGTAATCTGAATTTATTATTTAAAAAAATAATTTTATTAGGAGCTCATACAACTCTTATCACAACCCATACATACAACATGTGTGTAAAGCATATTTGTACATTCATTGCACTCATCATTCTCAAAACAGTTGTTCTCCACTTAAGCCCCTGGCATCAGCTCCTCATTTTT